AAGATCTTTCAAATGATGACCTTCTTCGCAAGTGCATCCAGGGGGAAACTCAAAATGCTAATGAGTCCCTGAATAATCTTATCTAGATAAAATGTCCTAAGCAAATCTTTGTAGAAAGATCAATTCTACAGTTAGGTGTATATAGGGCTATTCTTCAATTCAATGAAGGTCCATTTTGACTTGTTAAAGTGTATGAAAAACTTGGAATACAGACCGGTGTCTGTTTTAATTTTATATCCGAAATAATGAGCCAACGCAGCATCCAAAATTTTATTATCAAAACATCAGAGAAGACGAAAGCAAAAAGAAAAAAAAGAAAAGCCATCAAGAAGGGTTTATTGGATAAAGACTTACATAAAGAGGGAAGAGAAACTTATTTAAAAGGAGGATTTTAGTTTTAAGAACAAATTTTTCCTCTTGTTTTTTGATTTTCTACGATATCGTTTTTCAAAAAAATTGTCTCACAAAAAACAGCATAACATTTGAATTAATAGTGATAACTACTTGAAATTTTCAGGGCTTATTTATCAAGTGTACTGCTATTTTTCAAATAAATTTATTATTTGTAAGTTGTGGTTAGGGAACTAAGATCAAAGGCCTAGTAGCATATTTTTAAAAAATACAGTTGTTTTGAAGCATAACTTTTAGTAGAAACAGGATCTTTTAATAAAAAAACTCACGCACTAGATACAGGTAACACGCACAAACATACCAAGTTTGAAAGTAAAATGAGCTTTAACTCATAAGTAATTGTGTTTCTAGTAAACTCGAATTTTAGGGGTTATTTTGACTATTATAGGCCCCTATGTGATCATCTATATATTTTTGGAGTTCGAAAAAATATTTTTTTTTACACATCCTGTATTTACTTTTGAGAAAATTAATGCTTAATGAATAGAAAGTAACTTTTTTTGATTTCATAGGAACCACCTTAAGGTGGTTCCTATGTAAAAAATATTTGTTAACAATTTTATATGTTAACAATTCTATATGTTAACAATAGCATTATTAATATTAAAATTCGTTAACAATCTAACTAACTTAATGAATAATAAAAATATAAATATAAAATAATAACGTAATAATAAAATAATGAAGTAATTACACCAATTATTTGCAATAGAGTGACACAAAATATTAAAAGTAATACTATAAATAAATGTTTATCAAGTATAAACTTTATTTTATGATAAATGTTTTATTCAATTTTAGTTCTATTATTATTTATTTGAATTTGTAAATAATGTAATATTTTGTGTATGAATCCTTTTATTTTTACTTTATCATTTTATTTAAATTACTGCATTCAGTGGCGTATCTAGGGTAGGGCAGGCGGAGCACGTGCCATGGGCGCCAACCTGAACGGGGCGCAAAGGAGGCTCGTTTACGATACAATAACCGAAAATTATATAAAATAAAATTAGGATTTGAAAAAACTTTCTAATGTTTTAAAGTTTAAACTTTATTAGTTTATGTTGAAAGGTGGCGTTTTCCCGCAGCCTCTATGCGCGAGCGTGTGCAACTTCTGTATAAGTGAGTGCAACTTATGCGCAAGTGAGTGCAATTTATGTTTTTTTATGAAACTAACAAAAAAAAGTAAGACAGACTTTTTTATTTTATTTTTAGGTGACTTTTTTTTAATATGTTTTTTTGAAGATTGAAGTACGAAGTTTATAATATATTTTTAAAATTATGTGCTTTAAAAGTAACAAAAAATACATATATTGTTGTCAATGTACATTCAAACATCTTAGCAACGCCATAGCAACCGTGTAAACAACTAATTTTTTTATTCAACTTCTTGAAAATTTCCACTTAAGGTTTTGTATTATTTCTGAGTGTTAAATCAATTGTGATTTTCTACTGTTCTGCAAAATATTATAACTCTAAAAGATGTGCTGAAAAAAGCGGTTACGAATATGTCAAGGAATTCGACTGTTATTAATAAAGTTGAAGAAAAAAATTTAGTATCGATGAAAAAAGATTATTTAGACATTTAAAAGGAGAGAGATAATGGGAATTCTTATGCTAGTGGCAATTTTAGTACCTTTTTATTAAAAAAAATCTTCGTTTTTATGTTTGTTTATTTTAAATGTGTTTTTTAAGACTTTGTTATTTTCAATTTTTGGAAAATATTTTAGTTCCAGCCCAAGAGCAACTATGTAGCTACCACTTGGAAAAATATGATATGTTTAGTCCATATTTTAGTCAAGATTTCATAATTTTAGCTAAGGTAAGATTTTAGACAAATTATGCTGACTCAGCATCAAAAAATGCTAACTTCATTTTTTTTTTAAAAAGTTAAAGTTCAAACATACTTTCCATATATAAAAAACAAAAAACAAGTTTTTAAAATTTATAAATAAAAAGTTAGATTTAATGGGGGTGAGCCACCTTGAATAAATCAAAACTGAAATATAAACTGGCGTCTGATATTGCTTCCTCTGAATCACTGGATTCGTCTTCTACAAATATATTCTAAAATATTTTGTTGAGATATATTAAGGTAATTTTAAAATATAGAGATATATTAAGGTAATTAAAAAATATATTGCTTTTGTCAATTATGTATGGCAAAATCTTAATAATTTAAAAATATTTAGCTCAGAACCATGAATCGTTCTCTTGAGAGAAAAAAGGAAAGTGGGGCTACCAGTCGAAGATGACGTTTATTAGTGACAAAAGAAAAAGAATAAAGCATCAAAGTTTTAAAACGTTTTTTCAAAAATCATGCACGTGCACGATTCTGCAAGCACAATGCCTCAAGAAATAGAACATACTGGGAAGAAATAGAAGATACTGAAGATACTTCAAACAAGAAAGAATTAGTTGCGGCATCTATTGATGGCGATGCAGAGAACTTTAGTTATAATTCCATAATCCTTGCTACTTCTGAAGAAACAGAAGTTGGGCCTGAGTTTGACAAAGAAATTAAGATTGATGACGTTGAAGATAAAGACTTGATATCCGAAAACGTCCAAGTTATTAAATGTTTCATACCTAAATTTATTGAAGAACACGACATCGGATTTTTTATGTTTGGTGAAGAGACAGGAAAAGCAATCATAAATGATCCATTGAAAATTGAAATTATTAAACATGGTTTTAAACATATCCAACACACTAAAGGTCCTTTTATGCCAACTAACAATCATTCTATGAACAAAGCTTAGTTCTTTAAAAAATTTAGAAATGGTCACGTTGAGCAAGTGATGCGTTCATGGTTGGTTTACTCGCTTTCCGAAAATCTGTCTTTTGTTTTTACTGTCTTCTTTTTTCAAAATGAGAAAACCAATCTAGTTTGAAACAAGAAAGCTAATTTTCATTGGAAAGCACCTGAGAGAATGAATGTACATGAAAATTCAAAAAACCACAGGCAATGCTTTACCAAATGTAAAGAACTGGAAATTTTTTTTTTACAATAGAGGAATAATTGATGCAGAACTACAACAACAAATTCAAAGAGAAAATCAAAAGTGGTGTTATATTTTGAAAAGGCTTTAGCACTGCATCAAATACCTTGCAATGCAAAATTTAGGTTTGCGAGGACACCTAGAATCACTTCAATCAAATGCTAACGCAGGAAATTTACTTGGCTTACAGAAACTAGTTTCCAATTTTGATCCTGTTGTTAAAAATTATTTAAAATTTGCGGAGAGCCATCCTGGATCCACTACATATTTTTCACCCGACATTCAGAACAAGCTCATTCACGTCATATCATCCACTCATTGTGCTAATTTGCTTGAAAAGATACATAAAGCAAAGTAATTTGGGCTAATGTTTGACTCAACTCCAGATATAGCCCATCTCGAACAAATGTCTGAGATAGTTAGGTATATCGAGATCAATTTTGAGAAAAATTTATCTCGATCTCAGTATATATAAAAGAATCTTTCCTTAGCTTTATTCAACTCAGCGATAAGGATGCAGTTAGCTTAGCCCAAATAATATTGGAGCAATTTGAAAAAGACGATATGATTGTAAAAAATTTCAGATCACAATCCTATGACAATGCTGCTGTTTTGGCTAGCCAAAATAATGCTGTGCATCAAAGAATAAAGGAAAAAAACAACCTTGCCATATTTATCAATTGTGACAATCATAGTCTTAATTTGGTAGGCGTACATGCGGCTAAAAAAGAAGTAATGATGGTTACTTTTTTTGGAACCATTGATGCGCTTTACGTTTTTTTCTCAAGATCAACTAAACGATGGCATAAACTTAAAAATGTTGTGCCTATTACTTTGAAGTCCGATTCCGAAACCAGGTGGAGTGCCAAAACAGAATCAGTAAAACCTGTACACATCTACATTGATGAAATAGCTGAAGTTCTTCAGAACATAATGGTAAACAAAAAAGTGTTCAAAAGAGGTTGCAGGACCCTTAAATGAATTTTCATAACGCAGCTTTAGATTAAAAATTGCTCCAAGTATTTTCCAACGCAAGAGAGAGGTCTTAGTTAATGACTCAATAAAAAAAGGAGTTCAAATTTGCAACGAATTGAAAGTTGAATTTGAAAGACGTCAAAGAAGAAAAAAAGAATGGATGGCGAAATGTCTAGAGATGTTGGGTTATCAGCAAAAAAAGAAACGAAAAGGGTAATAAAAGGAACTTTTGACCGTCTTTTCAATAAATAAAAACAAAAAGCGTTCGATTAATAGAAATTGATGAAAAATTTAGATTTCTTCTTGATGTAGAAGGGTTCTGCTTCAATACGGAAATCAATCACTTAAAAGACCAATTTAAAATAATTTGGTCTACAGTTCTGATGTAGATGGACGAGAACTGTACGAAGAAATTTTGGACTGTAAAATGCTGCTCATTAGTCGTAAAGAAAAAATATCAAGTCCGAGCAACTACTTATGTTTATAGTTAAATATGGTGACGAAAACGTTTCTCTTAATATGCGTATAGAATTGCAAATATTGCTAACAATAGCTGTGTCTGTAACTTGTTGCAAGAGAACATTCATTAAAACTAAACTGATTAACTCTTACTTGAGAGCTTTGATGGGCCAAAGTCGTCCTTGTGATTTCGCTTCACTAAAAATAGAGCGAGAAATTACCAAAGAAATTGATTTTCACAATGTTATTAAGAAATTTGCAGCAACTAAACTAGAAAATTAAATGTGTAATATATGTTTATTTATAATGAATAAAAAAGTTTTATTGAAAGTTTGTGTCATCATTAAAAAAAAATTGTAATTAAGCACTTTATGTGAGGGAGGAGGGGCGTAAAATCGGTGTTTGCCCCACACGCAATTTACCCTAGGTACGCCACTGACTAAATTATGCGCCGACAATAGTTTGACTGGCGATATAAATAATGTTGCTCATCATTCATATCATTTATAATATTGTTACTTTTTATATGCATTTAATATTCTTAAAAATAGTTCAAAAGCTGCCTAAACAAAATGGTGAATTGAATTTGAATTAACCAGAAAAGATATAAGCTTTGTCTTTTGCATTAAACTTGTAATGATGTTCTAAGAGCAACTTAGCTGGAGAAGGAAAACTACAGTAATTTTTAAAATATATTAGAAAACGAATTATTGGACAAGACTTTACTTCTCAGTAAAATATAAGCATATAAAACAATGTTTATAAATAATATGCTATTATGTATTTATTTATTTTTAATATTGCAAGTTTTACGTACAATATGATTTTTTTAATCATTTTTTAGGCGTGCATTTACAAGTTCCGTTTTTTATACTATATATACAGATTGCAAGGACGTGAAGAAAACAGGCTTGTAAATGATGTTGTACATCATGCAGATAACTCAGACGAAGAATAAATATTTTTTTTTGTAAATTACAATTTATTTAACACTATATTTGTTGCTGCCTTGTTCTATATAAATGATACTAACATGCAGCTAACATTTATATATCTAGTAGTTTGCATAAATCTTTTTAATTTAACTTTATCATTTTATTTAAATTACAATATAGGAAGGAATGTTTGGGTGGAAATATAAACGATATAGTACATTATGCAGATATCAAAGACAAAGAAAAAGTCATAATCTTATGGTTATAATCTTAATGTTATTTGAAAATAATAATATACTAATTGCTGTTTTTTTCTATATAAATGTTGCACAGCATTAGGCAACATTTATATCGGACGTTCAAAAAGTTGTGCGTTAATTGGTAATTATAAAGAAAGTTGCAATAAGTAATAACTATAAGTATTAATGAATTAGTAAATAAAAAAAATTAGTTAGTATGTATATATTATATGTACGATGTATTGTCTAAATAGGTTAAATAGACAATGATACTAACTGTAGTAAAAACTATAATGAATATCAAAATGTGAATCGTAAATTGTTTGACGACTACCCGTTTGGCGGTGTAATCGCACTTATAAATAGTCTAATATTTTTTTGGATTGAATATGTTGTATTGATGATTCTTTTTAATTTGTTGATTGTATTAGTTATAATATATATATATACATATTTAAACATATATATATATATATATATATATTATATATATATATATATATATATATATATATATATATATATATATATAATATATATATATATATATATATATATATATATATATATATATATATATATATATATTTATATATATATATATATATATATATATATATATATATATATATATATATATATATATATATATATCAATATATATATATATATATATATATATA